GAGCAGGATGCCGGGGTAGATGGGGCCGTGGGGCAGAGCGGGGGCAGGTTATATTCTTCCAAGTTATTTCAGTTCCTGGGTGGGCTGGGATTGTGTCTTGGGACTGTTTGCGCCTTTGTTCCCTGGATCATCCTTGATCATCTTTGATCTGCCTCAGTCGGCCTTTGTGCTCCTGCCCCCACACACAGCCCCGTGTGGTAGCGAGGGGTGGGGCTGAGCTGGAGGAAAAGGCCTGAAGAGCCAGTAGCCAGGGAAGCTGGAGAGGGAGCTGCCATGTCGGTTTGGAAGGCCCGTGTCATCGGTGCTAACTCTGCTCTCGTTTCCCCCTGACGCCCGACCCCCGCCTGGCGCATCCCCAGATCCTGCTGTGGATTTACAGACACCCTGGGGGTGGGGGGGACCCATCTAGTGTGGAAACCAGCCGCCCCCAAGCCCCCGCCCCTGCTCCCGACCCTCCCACCGAGGTGCCGGGGAACTGTTCTGATCCGCGAGACGAGGAATCGCCCCCGGAGGCAGAGGAGGAGAAACCAGCCACCCCCAAGACAGGGAACTCTGCAGCCACCACTGCCAGGAGAAATTGCAGCGTAGCCGTGGTTGGAGACTCTCTTCCAAGGGGGGCGGAGGCGCCCTTCTGCTGCCTTGACGTGGCATCCCTGGAGGGGCACTGCCCGCCGGGAGGGATTGCCGACCGTCATCCAGCCCTCTGACTACTCATCCACGGGACACTAATGATGCTGCAGGGTGCGACCCTGGGCGGATCAGAGGTGACTACAGGGTGCTGGGGTTATGGAGAGGGGAGTTAGGGACAGACACATCCAGGAGGCGAATGCCTGGCTGCAAAAATGGTGTCACCAGGAGGACTTGGCTTCCAGCACTGGGATGGGTTACCTAGGGCAGGGGTGAGATCTCCATCCCTAGAGGTGTCTAAGCCCTGGTTTGACAAAGCCCTGGCTGGGCTGATTGGGTTGGGGTTGGTCCTGTGTTGGGCAGGGGGCTGAACTCGATGACTCCTGAGGTCTCTTCCAGCCCTGGGATTCTAGGATTCCAGGAAAGGACGGCTAAGCAGAGATGGGGGAGAGCAGATCTGGATACAGACTGGCTAATCCAGCGAGGGCTTTAAAGTGACCAAACTAGGTGACCAAAGCCCACAAGTCAAAATCGAGGAGACCTGGGAGAAGGGTTTGAATTTGGTGTGTGTGGGGAGGGGGGCTTGGCTTTTATAAGAGACCAGACAGACCTGGGTAGGGAATCAAATCAGTACCTTAGTTGTCTGTATACAAATGTGAAAAGTATGGGGAATAAGCAGGAACAGCTCTAAATGCTAGTAAATAAACACAAGTATGACATAGTTGGTATCACAGGCTAGGTATCCACTGCAATGCTATGTCGGGATATTGGAGTAATCCGAAAGAGCTATCCTTTGTCTTCACAGTAAGCCTGTGATTTTGGGCTCGCTATTCCGATGTCCCCCTAAACCTCATTCTGGGAGGAGTAAGGGACGTTTTGGAATAGGGGGTTATTTCGAAATTTGGGGTTGTGTAGCCAGCGCCAAATGACAAAATAAGCTACTTTGAAATAAGATCAAAAGAATTTGCGTAGCTGAAATTGCGTATCTTATTTCCAGGTATGGTGCTGTGTAGAAGCACCCATACAGCCTCGGGGGAATAATACACACAACTGGAATATTGGTATGGAAGGGTACAGTTTGTCCATGAAGAACAGGCAGGGGAAAAAGGGAGGTGTTGCATTATATATTAAAAATGAACACACTTGGACTGGGGTGGACACTTGTTGAGAGTCTCTGGGTTAGGTTACAAGGGGTAAAAAACAAGGTCATGTTAGGTGTCTACTACAGACCACCTACCCAGGCAGAAGAGGTGGATGTGGCTTTTTTTTCAAGCAACTCACAAAATCACCCAAAGCACGAGATTTGGTGGTGATGGGGGACTTCTGCTATCCAGACATCGGTTGGGAAAGCTATTGGGGGAAGCTGCTCTAGATTTGATTTTTAACAAATAGGGAAGAATTGGTTGAGGATTTGAAAGTGGAAGGCAGCTTGGGTGAAAGCGATTATGAAATCCATACAGCACGGCTGTGTCTAGACTGGCATGTTTTTCCGCAAAATCATCTGCTTTTGTGGAAAAACTTGCCAGCTGTCTACACTGGCCGCTTGAATTTCCAGAAAAGCACTGACAATCTCATGTAAAATCATCAGTGCTTTTCCGGAAAAACTATGCTGCACCTGTTCGGGCAAAAGTCTTTTTCCGAAAGACTTTTGTGCAAAAGAGCCAGTGTAGACAGCACAGTACTGTTTTCTGCAAAAAAGCCCTGATTGCGAAAATGGCGATCAGGGCTTTTTTGCGGAAAACCGCGTCTAGATTGGCCACGGATGCTTTTCAGCAAAAGTGCTTTTGCGGAAAAGCATCCTGCCAATCTAGACGTGCTTTTCTGAAAATGCTTTTAACGGAAAACTTTTCCGTTAAAAGCATTTTCGGAAAATCATGCCAGTATAGACGTAGCGTACATGATTCCAAGGAACGGTAGGAGAGAGAACAGCAAAATAGAGACAAATGGATTTCAAGAAGGCAGGCTTTCGCAAACTCAGGGAGCTGGTAGGTAAGGTCCCAATGGGAAGCAAGTCTTAGGGGAAAACAATTGAAGACAGGTGGCAGTTTTTCAAGGAGACATTATTAAAGGCACAAAAACAAACTATCCCCCGGCATAGGAAAGAGGAAGTTTGGCAAGAGAACCCCCTGGTTTAACCAGGAGATAGTTGATGTTCTAAAAATCAAAATGGAGCCCTACGAAAAGTGGAAAGTAGGTAAAAGTACAAAGGATGAATATGAACAAATAACACATACGTAGGCGCAAGATTAGAAAGGTGAAGGCACAAAACAAGCTCAGTCTAGCTAAACACAGTGAAAACGGGGCAGGATCAGAGCTCAAATGGAAAGAACAAGTTAAAATCACTTAGACAAATTAGATGTCTGCAAGTCACCAGGGCCTGGTGAAATGCATCCTAGAATACTCAAGGAGCCAATGGAGGCAGTATCTGAGCCTTTCGCTATCATCTTTGAAAAGTCTTGGAAGTCGGGAGAGATTTCAGAAGACTGGAAAAGGGCAAATTTAGTGCCCATCAATAAAAAGGGAAATAAGAACAACCCAGGAACTACAGACCAGTCAGTTTAACTTCTGTGCCAGGGAAGATAATGGAACAAGTAATTAATCAATTTGAAGATAAGGTGATATGCAGGGCTCGCCAAACCGTAGTGAGTCCCGCTCGCCTGCTGCACTGACCGGCGATCTGTGCATGCACAGATTGCCCGAACCCGGCTCTTCCGGGTTGTAATCTACTCGCCAGAGGCGAGTAGATTGCATTATTTGTTGAGCCCTGGTGATATGTAACAGCCAGCATGGATCTGTAAAGAATAAATTGTGTCAAACCAACCTGAGAGCTTTTTTTGATAGGATAATAAGTCTTTTGGACAAGGCATAAGTGGTAGATGTGGTATATCTAGATTTTAGTAAGGCTTTTGATACAGTCTCATATGACCTTTTAGGGAAACATAATTTAGATGGGGCCACTATAAGGTGGGTGCATAACTGGCTGGATAACCATTCTCACAGAGTAGTTATTAACTGTTCCCACTCATGCTGGAAGGGCATAACAAGTGGGGTTCCACAGGAGTCTGTTTTGGGTTCTGTTCAATATCTTCATCAACGATTTAGATACTGGCACAGAGTGTACACTTATTAAGCTTGCAGATGATGCTAAGCTGGGAAGGGTTGCAAGTGATCTGGAGGTTAGGGTCATAATTCAAAATGATCTGGACAAATTGGAGAAATGGTCTGAGATAAATAGGATGAAGTTTAATAAAGACAAATGCAAAGTACTCCACTTAGGAAGGAGAAATCAGTTTCACACACACAGAGGCTGTGTCTACACTGGCATGAATTTCCGGAACTGCTTAAAACGGAATACTATTCCGTTTTCAGTTTTTCCGGAAAAGGAGCGTCTACATTGGCAGGCTGCTTTTCCGGAAAAGCCCTTTTTCCGGAAAAGCGTCTGTGGCCAA